GTATATATATATATATATATATACATTGGCAAGATTACCTATGTATAATACATTATTTAAAGGGTTATACAGCTTCGATAATGATTACAATATATAATACAAGCTGTACAAATCACTTTATCACAAAATTGTATAGTACATTAAAGTACAAATGTGCCGACAAATGTTATAAACCCTTATGATATGGATAATCTTCAAACCATATCCTCACAATAAATAAATTGCAATCTAACGGCCTTATGTTCTATTTTTCTTTTCTTTCTTTCTCCTTTTCTGTCTTTTTCTTTCTCGTTCCTTCCGTCTGTTTTTTTCTTTCTTTCTTTCTCTCCTTCTTTGTCTTTTCTTTCTCTGGTTAGACTTTCCGACCAACTGGCCGGTATGACAAGCTTTGCAAAATGTCTTGCTTAACTCTAGCCAAACGAAATATGTATCTCATAATTTTGTCACCTATCTTGTTGACACCTAAATGATCTTCCATGGGGAGTTCATGGGCAACTTTCAATACTTCAGAAAAACATGCTTTGGGAACGATTTTATGAACACTAGCCCAGTCCTCTGAAGCTGGCACATCTGGTGGTCTCCACTTCCTCATAAGTACACCATTTTTGAAAAAAATAACCATTTGGTATTTTCTCCAGTTCATCTTTTGGGGAGTGCATGTTTAAATAGTGAAGTAATCTACAAATCTTTTTTCTCGTTCAGTGATCAGTTTACTTTTAGTAAATGGAACTTCACTAGGTGAATCAGATCCTTCACGTCCATCGTTATCACTCACGGGGGTATTGTCAGTAGGACGATCCTTCACAAGATCCCTGTCGGATCCAAAAAATGTCTGATACAAATCTATAATATCATCCTCTGAATCCAAGTCTATCCTTTGTTTTTGGCTTAATTTCTTAGCTTGAGCTCGAGTCACAGAACACGAGGGAAACACATCAGGATTCTCCTCAACTACAACATCATCCTTAGATGAAACAGTGATCGGCTCATTAACCATTTTAGTTTCGGCAACAACCTTTCTCCTACCCAAATATTTCCCAACAACAACGATACACCCTTAATTGGCAGAGTAGGTCTTACTCCAACCACAACTGGTCCCGAAACTAGCTCTGATGCTAAATAAATATTATGAAGAGGAGCATTAACAAAGCTACCCTCAATACCCTGAACAATAACAGACTCGTCAGTGGCAGAATTCGAATCTGAAGGCAATACACCTTCTAAAAACAATGATTGAGTCGCCCCAGTCAATCCAAACAACGTTCATATTAAAAATAAATACATAATGATAAATTCGTTACACAGTGTCACTACATACTTGAATACTATGGCACAAACAGTTTTATCACGGTCTAGTAGATATGAATTGATTTTGAAAAGCCTTATGTACAACATATGATAAATACTTTAATTGCGCCAATTCTTGTGAATCGTATAAACCTGAAACACTGTTCAACAGTTCTTGCATTACACGCACACACTAACTTCAATACATTACAGTGCTTTTGTCGACTGTTTCATTGTAAAAGGCTGCTTTAAGTCTCTTGGTTTTTAGAACAGTGAAAGATCTTAACAGCTTAATATTCACAATAGCATTTTCAAAATGTTTTAATAAACTGGCAACGACTGTTTTAACCAGGAGTTACTTTTTAATAGTGAAGAACAAGCCGCTAAATGCATTTTGGTGATAATCATATTAAACCTAAAAATTACCAGCGTTTTTGTAACGATGTTGACACTATCTTCCCAGGTGAAAACAGGAGAAGCCGGAAAAGGAAGCCTGACAGTGAGTATACAAGGTCCAGGCAGACATGATGTTCTAGAGACAACGGTTACTTACATAGGAGATGATATGTATGAAATTATGTACGAAGTTTCGGATCCCGGTTACTACATTATCTCTGTGAAGTGGTGTGAATGGAATATTCTAGAGAGCCCATTTATATGTAAAGTTACTTATTAGAACCGTCATAACCAGTGTCGATAAACATAGCCATTCTTTATAAGTTGAAAATAACCATATTTTAGTTACGAATATATAAGTACAAATCTTAAAAAAAAGTGTTAATTATATTATTCTAAAACTTGGCACGGATAAGTTCTCACAAGGTATATGTATCGTTGTTTACACACTACAATATTACTATACAACTTGTGTATCTGTATATGTTGTGTATAACCTTAGTTCATTCAGTAAACAAGTACACAGTTAAATAATATATTCAGATAAATTTTTCTATACTGGTATCTCGTTTAACGCTGATATTTTACTACTAAGTATTAGCTCGCTTTATCAGAATTTAATGATAACCTTTTTTGTTTTGAAAATCACTGTAAGCTTGAAAGTGTACAAATGTGACAACACAAGGAAGTTATGCTGAAACAACAAAAGATAATTTAAGAATGGTATTTACTTGTTGTTTTTTTTTCATGTGAAAGATATGTAATTATAACACTTAATACCCATAAAATAAACGTTAAAAACAACTGTACTTTGCTTTCTTTGAAGCAATTAAAAATTATGTTTAGCATATTATATGATAATGTTTTTCTTACACTTCAAGCTCTCTTAAAATAAAAAGAGTTATACATATGTTAAAAATGTTGGGTGATTTAATTATTTGTTTGGTATTTTGTGTTATAAAGAATTTTGATCATTTTGAAAAAATACCAAAATAAAGTTGCCACAATATTCAATGAAAAGCTCAAAAAGTCTTTGCAGATAACATCTGTGTATGAGTGGGCAATATATCAATTTCTGTGCTGAGAAATTTTCAATCAACACCTTTCACCCTCATCATGTTATGAGCACAAAAACTGGAAAGGTTTCCTCTTCTCTAGTTCAAGATTTGGTTTATAAAAAGCTAAAGTTTAGTGCAATATAACCTGCCTAAAAATTTTCCTCTAAAAAAAACTCACTAATTATCATTAAAAAAAATTAAACCAGAGACAGGTAGTTTTCAAACTGTAGAAACAGATTTTAACTAAAACCAAATCATATAAATAATGTTTGGTGAACTCTATTCAGGAAAAGGTAGACTTAAAAATATAAAATATTTGTTACATAAAGGGGCCAACATAGTAATGTAACCATTTTTGTTTTTGTTTAAAAAAATACATTTAAAGAAACCAATAGAGTGGATAAGTTTAAAACTAAATTAGATAGTACTATTGAAACCTTTGATGTTATTTTGCTAAAATCTACCCCATTGCACAATAAAACTACAAGCCTATTTAGAACTAAATATTCATAGTAATCTCTCAGAAACTAGTGTAAATACATTTCTTGAAAAACCATCATCTGAATGTCACTAATGCCAGATATATATATATATATATAT